ACTCATGATTACCTTTGATTGATCACAGTGACTGGGAAAAGTRCCCAAAGACTGGAGCAAAGCAAGGTTTGTTCTYACCTTCAGGAAGGAGCCARGGARCTACAGGCAGGTCAGCCTYGCCTCAGTCCCTGGGAACATGATGGAGCAGCTGATCCTGGAAACCACTGCTGGGCATGAAAAGGACAAGAAAGTGTTCAGGAATAGTCAGCATGGATTCACAAATGGCAAGTCATGCTTGAACAACGTGATAGCGTTCCATGATGAGATGACTGCATGCTAGAGCAGGGGACAGCAGTGGCTGTTGTCAGCCTAGACATTGGTCAGGCTTTTGCCACTGTCTCCCATGGGATCCCCCTACAGCAGCTGATGAAGTAAGGGTTAGGTGGGCAGACAGGGAGGTGAAAACTTGCCAGGCTCAGAGGGTGGTGATCAGTGACATGAGGACCAGTTGGAGGTCAGTAGCTAGTGGGGTACCCCAGGGAACATGATTGGCTCAGATCCCATTTGACATCTACATTAATAATCTGGATGATGCTGCCCCAGTACCCCAGCGAGTTTTCAGGTAACACAAAAGTGGAAGGAATGGATAATGAATAAGAGGATCACACTGTCATCCAGAGGGAAAAAAGCTGGAAAAATAGGTTGAGAGGAACCTCTTAATTATTAAGGATCTAGAGCATGTCTCCTATAAAGAAAGGCTGAAGGACCTGGGAATTGTCAGCTTGGAGAATGCTCACAGGGCTCTTAATATACACATAAATACCTGAAAGGAAAGTACAGAGCAGATAGAGCTGAGTCTTTTCAATGGTTCCCACTGACAGGACAGAGTCAAAGAGCCCACACTGACACACAGCAGGTTTGCCCTGAACATCAGAAAACACTTTTTTCACTGTGAAGATGGCCAAACACCAACACAAGCTGTCCAAGAAAGGATGTGAAGTTGCTATTAAGATGTAAGCCAGGGGCACGTGTTAGTTCTTCTGTGGTAATAATCACAAGCCACATCTCCATGAAATTGCAAATCCAGTTTTAGGGTTCCTCATCCTTGCCACATGGCCCAAAACACTGATTCGATATCAATTCACAGAGCCAGATGAACTATGTTCAAAAATAATGACCAGTCAACTTCATGCTGGTTCATTTCCCATGTGCTGCCCTTCCTGTGGTACTCCACAGACTTCTTGCCCTGCCAGAATCTCTATCCTTTATATCCAAAGGTAATTTTCCTTAGATATCCCTACATCAGGTCACTGCTGCCAGATGTGATTGATCTCTTTTTTATGCAATGCCATCACCTGTAAAAGTGCAAAATGTCTGTCTCTCATGCATGGTAAAACTATTTCAAAAGAAAGAAAACACCTTTCCTTCTACTATGGATAATGGTTGCAAACACCTTATACCTAAGGAATTCAGCCTTTTAAGCATATAGGAGTGGATAATGTGTATAAAAACGTATTAGATAAAGGTATTTGATTCCAAAAAATGGTACAGATATTGATGAGAGGTCTCCTGTTATTTGTTTTCTGCTAAGTAAATATTTGGCAGATGAACAGTARATTTGAGCTCTTTCCTCAAGATTAGAAAAATCATATTTTGGAAAGCCTGGATAAGCAGAAGAAAAATCTTTACAGACAGCAACTGTAGGTGGGAAATCTGGGTGACATTAAATGCAACATGGCRTTAAAGTGATGAATAAAATTAAACACAGACTGTCCCTGTATGTGCCACTCAGAACATCAGCTGTGTTTAGTTCTGTTGTGCAGATCTCAAATGCTATATCAGAAGAAACATTGCACTGAAGTACAAACATACGAAAGACGCATTCAAGCCTCTTTGCTTCAGTGCATTTCAAAAGGATTTTTGAATCACTCCTAGGAAACCTTTGTGAGGGCGGCACCTGCAATGTTTGTCATAATATATAACACAGAATAAATAAAGTACTTAAAAATAATGTCTTAGATACCCTAAATCAGGCTCAAAAMCCAGAGAATATTCTAGCTTAGTTTRTCTATGCTCTGGTTCCTCACCTCAAAATAAATCCAGTTTATTTCACAGCAGTCTGACAAAGATAAGCACTAATTAGATTTTTCAGCTCTCTAATACCACCACAAGCACCACAGCAAAGTCTGTGAGGAAATTAATAATTCTAATTTTAGAAGGGAATGCAGTAAATAAGGCATCCAGGCATCCAGCCACACATTGARCAAGGAGAATGCAGCTGGATATTGTTCAACGTGCTGTGTGAGTACAGCACATCAGGTACACTGAGTCAGGCAAGGATCCTCTCAAAATGATATGTGAACATAATCAAAAATCAAATTATCATGTGCAGGTAAGATAAGTAATTCAGCCTTATATCCTGGTATTAGCATGTCATTTGGCAGTCTCGCTCATCTACCCCTTTTAACATAGGTTTTGTCTCTAACCACTGATGCCAACAATCTTCTCCTCCAGAAAGTTCGTATTTAAAGAGACCAAACAACAGTTCAAGACCTTACAAGAAAAGGTAGAATGACTGGTTGAGCTTTACTTTGTACACTGCCAGAGCTCAAAAAAGTTTTTGAAAATTATCACAAGTGTTTCYAGAAGTAGTAGAAAGGACTAGGCCAAGTTGTTTAACCTCATGTTTTATCCCTCTGTCTTACCCTCTTTATGCAAATTGGAAAACATTGTGGAGATTGTATGAAAGGTTTCAGACCTTCAGCGGAAGGAATCAGGCAGGTGAAAGAGAAGGTTGGGACTGGCTTGGGGAGAATCCATTCATCTACCACTGAGTCAGTAATGAAAACCTCCTGATACTCCTCCCCACATATTTTGGGAGAGAATGGCATCTGCTTTATTGGGTCAGGTTTCACTCTGTATATATTGGGAGGCTTTAATTCCTACTTGTAACAGGAGGAAAAGTCAAGGGATAATAATTTGCAGTCACACATGACCAACAGAAGTTGCTGCAAGCTCCAAACTCCTTGCCCTATGTCCCACCTTGCCCTCCTTGCTCCACTCTGGCTCCCCACAGATGGGATCTCCCAGTTACACCACACAACGTTGCAGTCTTCCCATGTTCAATAAGGAGCAGCCTTTTGTCTTCTTGATTTTTAACATGGAGAACTTTGTTGTGGAGAGTATTAACTAAGCTTCTTCCTATGTGATGATTTTCCATGTTGAAATAAAATAGTGTTCCCTTCAATTCACAGAACCACAGAATCACAGAACCACAGAATCACAGAACAGCTGGGGTTGGGAGGACCTTTGGTCATCATCCAGTTCAACTCCCTGCTGAAGAGCAGGTTTCACCAGATAAGTCCAGATGGGTTTTGAATATCTCTGGATAAGGAGACTCCACAATCTTCCAGGGCAGCCTGTTCCAGTGCTCTGTCACCCTTRCATTCTGTTGGAAGATGCCTCATGTCTTTCAAAGCCAAGCCAAGTCAGGAGCAATCACATGGAATAAGCTTAGAATGATAAGCAAAGTACGGAAAACTGGACTGTGCTTTAGAAAAATAGGACAATTGGACTAGTAAGTATTTGAAAGTTGTTCATCAGCCTGTAAAAAAAGTTCCTCTGAACACACATTTCTACTTTATTCTGCATCTAAAACTATCATGCTTTTCTATAACTGCTGTCCCTGCTAAACACCATCATTACAATATGTGTCTCTGCAGAAGGTTCTGTTTCAGTGTGAGATTTTCTAGAATATAAATTTTATAACTTAATATACAACTTTTAAAAAATCATGTTCTCTTATACGTTCTCTTCCAACAACTTGATTCAACAAAGACCTTTGAACACTTTACTAGTCTCATCATCCAAAATAAGCCTAAGATCAGAGCACACAAATTCACCAGCATTGTGAAAAATGCTGTCTCTGACAGATGTGAAAATAAAATGAAAAAATAGAAGTATAACATTGATAGTAGTGCTAAGATTAAAAGCCTATTTAATTTGCAGGGAAGGATCAGACTGTCTTGTCCTAGAAAYGTACACCCCTCCACCTGTGAGGTCTGTGTTGCTGTCTGCCCATGGGTCAAGCAATGGTGTTTTTAAAAATCAGTGCAGATACTTTACTTTATCCCCTTCTTCCCTCTCACAGTCACCAAACACTCTGCCCTTCTACYGGAGTTCAGTGTGAGTGGACTTGGTTTATCACAGGACAGATTGTGAAACTTTACACATTAGGTCCAATGACAATGTGTCCTCTTATTTTGAAAGAATTTTGAAACAAATATGAATCTTTTCCTCCACTTCACTAATTCAGTGAGCTGTTTGATCAGGATGAAAAACAGTAGAAGTCTGGCTAATAATGACACAATATTAAAATGAGAGGAAAAAAAGGAATATGTAGAGTGAAAATTTTCACAGCCCTATAATCCTCTTGAGTATTACATGTCCTTTGGAAAATATTGTATTTAATTTCCATACCTCTACAGGTCAAATACAGAGATAGAAGTTAAAAAAAAATCTTGTAAATGACCTTTTTTTTTCTGCATTAAAATATAAGCAAGTTTGAGGTACAGAAACAGAGCAGTTAGTCACAAATGCTGCCCCAATAAATCCTCAATACCTGCCAGTCACCTGAGAAGCAYGGTGTGATCAGGTTTTCTGTCCTGTACATGACAGAGGTTTTATTGTTTCTGCAGGGAGCAGTGTGATTAAGAGACTACCTTTAGTGAAGAGCTCTCCAAGTTACACAGCTCACCCTGGAAAAGTTCTGAGAGACAGGAAAAAAAACTCTAGACTGTTGTTAATTTTTGCTATTGTTCTTTCTTTTTTCATAAGTAGAGCATTGTAACCAGTTAATTGGCTGAATGGACTAAGTGTCTGTCAAAGGAGACACATGTCATTTATTGTACAACATGGGGACTACCATGTTTTGCCACTGAACATGCTGAAAATATTATGTATGTAATATATTTATGTTTATATTTACTATATTATATCAAGTATTATAAAAATATCTACATGATAAATAGGAATGTCAAATTTATCTATTCTTTCACCAGCTCCAGCTCATACCATGACCATGTATTGTGACTTGGGGAGACAAAATTCATTTCTACTGATCGCTCTGGGRAAAAAAAAAAAAAAAAAAAGAAAAAAGTAGGATTTTCAATGAGTCTAGGTCACCTAGGTTATGGTACATCCATTCTGTACTCCAGAGCACACACTAAATGCTCCTTATGCCATCACCTGGTCCCCTAATAACAGAAGAAACAGGGTTTGAAAGCACAAAAAAAAAAAAGAAAGAAAACAAAAAATTACATCCAATATACACATAAATTATATAAAAACCTTCCTGCATATGTATATATAGTCAATAAAATTAAATGCAGTTGCATACTCAGGCACACTCTTATGATGCAAAAAATGATCAGATGCAGACTCAAACTCTCAACTCCGTAACTTTATAAAATTGACATCTACATAATTTATCTCATTATTATGTAATATTTAATTTTAAATTATACATTTTTTTATATGGTCTTTCAGAAGCTCTCTTACAAGTTGTGCTGCTGATGTAACATCATCCCTTTCCATCTACTTTATCTCTTACCATTTTGAGTTATATTTGTGGGCATTGCTGATGAAGAGTTGTATGAAGAATAGACAGTGAATTATCCATGGTAATGATTGTTGCTTGACTTAAAATAAAAAGTAACAGCCTTTTAAGGTTAACATCAGTTTCATGTTTGGATTGTTTCTACCATTTGGAAAGGTTTGACATGTTTTTAAATTACTAAGTAATGTGAAAATACGTTACTAGCACAGGACTGTTGTCTATGTAAATATTTCATGAGTAGAGTCACCCGTCATTGGTTAATAAGGTAACAAAGATTCAAAGCTATTTATGTTGACTCATATTTTTAAAATGAGGAATTTGGAAACAAGAAAATGTGACAAAGTTGATCAGGATCTAAGATACTGGCTATAGACAGACTGTGTCTTGCCTGACATGAAATGTTATTTTAAATCACTTATTGAAAAGAGATGTAACATTGTCCAKGTGAAATATATTAAATGTGTAATACAACGAGTCACCTAATGAACCTAGGATAAATAGTTATCATTTTTAGGTTTGCAGAGATGAAAGACAAAACCTTGGTAGGTTTTGCTTCCACTGATTCTCCCATGTGTCCATGACATCAAATACAGCAGATAGCCCATTTATCATAGAGTTTACTCTATGATTAACTCCATTTATCATAGAGTTTACATGAACGTTATCACCTTGGGGTTAACAGTACGACTGGAGAGTGAGTGCAGCTCATGGGTTCAGCCTGCAGCAGCCACCCCCTTGGTACTCCCCAGTCTGCCTTCATTCACAGGCAGTGTAAGGGCATCCTTGTGACAAACTGCTCAGTTTGATCTGTTAACTGCTCTGGAGCAGGTGGTCTTTCTCASCGGTCTTGTCTGATCTTCATTGYGCCAGACCAAACAAATGCAACTCAYACCMTCCCACTGCTTCTCTGGAAGAGTCCCACGGATCATGAAGCAGGGAGATTGGGGATCAGTGAAGTCGTTCAGAGGATGAAATAGGATGACTTGCCTTCTGCAGAATCCATGCAAGCTGCTGAAARTCACCTTCCTCTGCATGCCTGCATCAAGCACAATGAATGCTATACCACCCTTTCTCCTGGGCAATGCCTCAGCAGCCTGTCAGTCTTTTGCAAGGGACTTGGGGGTAACACAACAAYACAGGCACTGCAGCTGATTTCACAGAGCTGTCCAACAACAAACTCCTGTGTGTCACTTCTGTGCGGGACAGTCATTCAAGTTTACTGTAAGGTAAACATTTCCATCAGCTGATCACAAATTTCATCAGACCCATGAAGGCTTCGACCTTAAGTATCACCTGAACACTCTGGCAAAACTAATGTATGCCTTTGCTTAAGTACTAGACCATATGGCCCAATTAATTTGYATTTGAAGAGTTGTAACTCAGCTTGTTCCAGGGTGGTCCTCGGGCAGGATTTTAGTTTTATTTAACAAATTGGTCTCTTGCAGTTTTATTGTGTTTCATGACTTCTTGCACAAAAAAGGTCTTATGTTCAATAKTGATTGCATATAGTAAGGCAGAGTAAGAGCTGTTCAAGAAGAAGCTGCTACATAGTATTGACTGTCTCAGAGTGATAAGTGTACAAAGGCAGATAATATTGATGTCTAGAATAATCTGTTATTCTGATTTACTAGAATGTATACCACAGGATATCAAGACATAGTTCAGACCCAAAGCAAATCTAAAGGTTCCTGTTCTTTCACTACTGGGAGCTCATCTCTGAGTGTCCTCACTCCTGTATTGCTGGTACAAACTGATCTGCCAACACTTGTTTGACCCTCAAGTAATTAATCCAACTTTTCCTTACAACCACAAAAGCAACTTTTTGTGTGTGTTGGCACTTTCAAACAATTATCGTGCAAATCCAACAGATAKAATTGTATCTTTAGGGGCCACTTCTTGCAAGCTCCATTGTTCATCCACACCTAGACACACAGTGCTATTTTTAGAACAGGAAGGGTGTGAAGGATTTTCACGGTGAATTTGAAAGAAGGTGGCAATAAAGTTGTGTTTCCATTCTAGAGGATATMTCTAAACAAAGCTGTGGAGAGCAAAAAGTTTGGTGGAAATACAAGGCAACAACTGTCGTAGAAGTGTTTATAAGTCTGTAAATAATGTTCATTTTTTTTCTGAGAGGTCATGGTACACATTGTGCAATATCCTTGTTCCTAGGAAGATAAATCACACACAAGTGAGATGTCTGGGTGTGTTAGATGGCACTGTGTGTCACTGCATAAGCCATGTCAGAGCTGCCTAAACAGAGAAACTGTTTTTATTAAAGTTTAGGCAGTCAGCCTAAACTGAAGATAGGAGTCTTCACACCCCCATATGTGAGTATCACACCTGCACAAGATTGCAGGAGTAAAAACCCCCTGCAGCCATTGAAGATGAAGGTTGAAGGTGAAAACAAAACAAYCCAAACAAAAGCCCCAAGCCTTATGTTCAAAGTTCGGTGCTGTTAAACCTCACATGGGAATGATCTGTTTCCTGGGCTGCTAAAAAAATCCCCAAGACATGAAGTTTATSATGTGTGAAATAATATACATGGACAACACTCCCTTCCCCCAGCTCCTCAAAATAACCCCCCTGCTCCCCATGCAAACCAAACTGATCTTCCTCTCCGAGGCCACAGCCCAGTGAAGCCTCATCCCTCCCACCCTTCATCCCCCCACTTCAATTTACACAATAAATTATATGCAACCCGTGATATTTAGAAGCCACATCCTGCTGTAGGCAGGACTGGCTGTGCTTCTTAACACAATATTTGGGGATGACTCTGCTTCCCGAAAACAGAGTCGATGTGCTGGACGTGGTTTAATTGGTGCCAGCTTTCTCCTATTAACAAGTGTCATCTTTCTTCATTCACTAGGTGCACAGATGGTGATGTTCTGCAGGTTATAGCACCCCTATGCACTAAAGCCTTTTGTATATATTGCTGCCTGATAGACAGGAAATAATGCATGGTACCAGGGGATAGTTCACATGAGCAAAGTTGCTTACATGCATATGCAAAACTGGGGTTCCAGATGCGAAATACATCTTTTTCTAATCCCTGAGCTATTTCTCTGTGTGTATGTCTATGCAYATATTGCATGATTACTACTTTTTATTACTTCTAAAACTTAAAAATAAGATTGGCTTGAATTTAGTTTGAGGATTGGCACCAATTCAGGACAATTCTTGTTTTAACTGAAACAGTTTGCCCACTGCTAATTTTAACACAAGCGATTTATTTTATTAACATGGACGCAACTGGGAAGCACGCTCTCCCTTCCTACCAGGAAGCCTTGGAAGCCTAACACAAAGACTCAGAAATAGCTACGCCACAGATTTGTGGCGATGATGTCTTTGACTGTGAAAAGGTGTTTTTGAGAGATTGCGTAATTTTCATACTTGCCTTTGCTATTCATGCAGGAGGGACAGACCTAAAAACTTCATGCTCTCGGATATCTGCAAGAAACTGACTGAGACACTGAGTCTAATTATCCCACGCCCTTCATTCCCTTTAACTTCAGTGAAAATATAGAGGACCTGCCTCAATTATGGCAGATGATGAGACTAAGCACTASACATTCAACTCGGAGCTGAAGAGGGGAAAAGCAGAGGGTAATTGCTATGTATAGACAGTGCARCCATTGAAAAACCTTTGACCTGTTTGTCTTTCCTTAATAAAGTTTTTGCAATCTGCGCAAGGATGACTTGGCTATTCATCACCAAGCTTCGGCACATGACCCAGCTTTTTCTACCATTCAAGGAATGTAATTTAAACTAGATTTGGAATGCTCTRCATGGCCAGGAGTGATGCCCGCTGGAATGTTCAGCTTATGTGGAATTGTTTGGTTCAGTTTAAATAAATAAATAGCATTAAAATCTAATCATGGAAAATGTAGCTGTTAAAAATAGACCGAGGTAGCGCTAACTCAAAGCGTGGAGAAAAGGTATGTGCAGGAGGSACTCTGAGAGCCGATTCATCAAGTGCAAGAGCAACCAGACGACCAGCGCTGGCGAGCTTTCAGGCACGTAGGCATCACCACCGAGCCTCCCCACCCTGCAGCAGGAGCTCCCAGCAGGAGTTAGACCTGTTTCCTTCTCTTTGCACTTCAGCCACCTGCCTTCCCTCCAATCAGGTTCTCCACAGAGATGCAAGATTCTCATCAATCTCCCTGTGGTGAGCCTGGCACCCGGCGTGAAAACCACCGTGCGCAATATTTCTCCACCTGTGAGGCAGCTGTTTCAAAATGAAGCAATATTTGAAAGGACTTTAGTTTTTTAGTTTTGTTKGTAGCTTTTGATGCTGAGTTTTGTTTGTGCCACAGTAAAACCTCAGCAAGAGAAAGATGCCATGAATCCAGATGGMAAAGACAGTTTCTCTCGAATTGTTTCACCTTGTGCTGTTTTCTGCTTTCAGTCATCAGCCTTAAACATGAAACTGCTATAATTCTTACTCAAGAATTAATCAAGAACTTGTAAGTTAATCAGAGCATTTAATAAAAAAAAATAGCAAGACATTTTACATATTGGGTCCCATGATCAGTTTGGCTTTTGAGTATTTGTGAATTTTTAAAAATAGAGAAGAATATTTCATCTGGTGCAACTTATTTTGGATTTTCCAGGATGCCCCATGAGAACAGAGAAGAGGTCTGGCCATGGTGCACCATGAGGCCTTTAAAGCAGCCTGGAACCCAGCCAGGAGAGTTTATTCCACACAGCATCCACTGCAAAGACCCTAAGATGCTTTTCCTAAAGATTGTTCTCTTTTTTTTCAGTCAGCTCATTCATTCCATTGAATTCCACTTCCATTTTTGCTACTGCAAAACCAAATGCTTGTAGAAAACACAAAGCTTTCTGACCAGCTGCACTCAAGGGCACCAGGGTTTGTTGGTAATTGAACTCCTGGGATGGCAGACACGGTCCTCAGCTCAGCTGCCTACTTCACCTGCACTGCACAGAGAGCAGAACCACWCATGCATCTGCTCCTAAGCCACTGGGTTACAGTGAGATTCGGTTTAAATTATTAATAATTAGACTGGCTTTAGAATGATGAAATGCACATGAAATCTCTGCAGGAGCTGACTGATCAGTGGACCACATCTTCCTGCCCTGAGGGGTTGGTGCACAGACCAGGGCAATGACTGTATCTGTTCTCCAAAGGTGAGCCCTCCCTATGTGTCAGATRAGCCTGGTTCTGCACAAGACTAGTAATCTGCCTGTCCCAAACCTTACAATTTATCTATATAGGGCAGACAAGGGAAGGGAGTACAATTGAATTTTTCAGAGAGGAAATCCAGCAGTAAAGGTCATCTAGTCACAGACTGGAGATTTCCTGAGTCTTCTTCCAGTGACTTGTGGTCCCTGCTATTGGTTCAGACATGTTCCAATTCATATGTTAAACATCATGCTCGACACCAGGTCGCTACAACAAATTTTATACATTTTTGAAAAAGCATTAGRAAATGTGCATCAATTTTAAGTTTTTCAAGAGTGAATAATGGAAGTTAAAATATGCATGAGAAAAATGTATCATGATGGATATTGCCTGCAAAAAGCGACATCATGCTTCCAGTTCATTCACTTGTAAATTTAATGAGGAGCCCAAGAACACCCAGGTGCCAAAACAATCATTTCTCTGATGCTCTGGTTCTAAAAAGCTGCAAAATTAATCCTGCTCCCTTGCCCAAAACATCCAACCATCAACAGATCAACTACTCACTTTGCAYGCTTCTGCAAATGCCCTATTTACATTTGATAGGGAATGCCTGAAAAGCTCACAGCTTGAAAAGCTTG